TCCATGCTTTTTAATTCAACCAAATAATTGCATCATCATAAAAAATACATATTATTGTTCCCAAACTCACTCACCTTCTTTCTTGTGAATTGATCTCAGTGTCTGGGTCGTTCGTCCGGGTCGGTGGGGTCGTCGTCCGGGTGAGAATCCTCTCTCTCACTCTTCCAACAAAGGTAAGGGTAAAAATGGGAAAAGTAAAGTTCTATCCTTGTTTTGTATTTTTTCCTTCTTTTTTTTTTTTTAAATTGGTCAACGATTATTTTGCAAAATTTGGCGGGTCAACTGGGCATTTACCACTATTTCCTCCATTCACTTTACATGTTGAACTTAACCCAATAACCATCATTCATGAACAGGATTTCCACAATGACGGTATCAAAAAGTAGACAAAACAGATTTTTTATGTTTTTTTTTAATCATTGCTAAAGATATTTTTTTTATGCCATAGTAGGAATACCACGAAACACAAAAGCGTTCCGATCTGCTTAAGAAAACCATAAGTGTTGATGATCTTATTACCCCCCAGAATTGGAAGCTCCAGGTTAGCAGTCCATGTGGACAACCACGTATTCCTTTTAGCCAAGTGGACAGAAAGCCAGTTGAAAAGTCAATGGGGAAGCCAATACAGGCAAGGTCAACAGAGACTCCTTGGGTCCGAAACTCCTTTATTCAAGGGCAGAGGCTCCTAAGTCCGAAGCTCCTTCATGCGAATGTATAGGCTCCTTAAGATCGAAGTACTGAAGCTGAACACAGATGTTTCCTCATATCAGATTCGAAGATCTCTCAGAACTGATTGACGTGACATCTACCATAAAGTGTCTGTAGCGTTAATGTGTGTTAATGAGTCAGTCTACAAAGTTGAACGACGGATCTTCTGCAAAAGAATAATTGTAAAGATTGGACATTGATGTGAGGCTTCAATCTAGGGGATGTCGCCACGTGAATTTGATCTAACGGTCACCACGTCAGGTAGATCAGTATAAATAAACCCCTCTTTGTATAGAAGAGGGGAGACGGAGAATCACAAAAGAACATATTTATGCACTTTGACAGGATAAGCCCAAGAATG